ACAATCTTTCACGCAATGCCGCATCGACTAGGTGATCACGATGCACGGTGCGGACGATTATCTGTTTACAGGGTTTAACGTCCTCTCGCCTCTCACATTAATTAATTACATCGGGGTGCTTTTTTAAAGTGAATTCCTTCGTCTCTCACATTAACTGAAGAGGATCTTCTCAATCATCTTCACTATCACTTTCAATGACTAGGATATAATTATCTTTTTGGAATATAATGCTGAATATTTCTGCGGTTTAAGAATTTTCGATAGATACTTTGCATAAGATAAGTAATATATCATTGCAGCAATATGTGAACAGCAATCAACAGTTCGTCTGTCATTAGTACATTCACATGCAATATCACATCGAAATACGGATACTGTTTAATTCATATCTCAAAAAACATCTATATATTTTACGAGAAATATATTCGGGATGGAACTTTTAGTTTAAGGACATTTTTCTTATTCTTAACATACTCTATGTTTAATTTATCATTTTTATCTACTATTTCCGTCAAATATGACACGGCTTGTGAAAGTTGGTATGAACCGGTAAATAAAATTTTATGTCTTTTTTGGTCATTTCCGGAAAATTCAAAAGATCATTAGATGTAATATTTTTAAAAAGAAGTTTATGGCGAAATCATCCTTTTTCTTCCTTAATAGCCAATGTATTTTCCGTATTATCTTTTTGATCATGCATCTTCTATACAACTTCATAGTTTCTACGTCAGATTGAAACCTTTTTCCAAAAGTATTGTTCAGAAATGATGCAATTCTAAAATAAACTCCAATTTTTGGTATTAATTTATTGTCAATTTTGTTTTTAGAAGACGATACTTTTGTTTCAGCGTTGCATGAACAGATTCAATTACTCAGCGAGTTTTAGTATCAAATCGAAACTGATTGGATTCTTTTGTTGATTGCTTCTATTTTCCTTTTAATGTTGGCATTAAAACTGTAATTTTTTTTTTCTCTAAATCATCTGTTATATCTAGAAAACCATGTCAACTACGTATCTATCAGTTGTATAAATGGTGAAGGGTTTGCAGAAAGGAATTTTTTTCCCAAGAATAATTTCTTTTTACTCATTGTTAGTAGTTTTTTGATATCGGGCGTATGTACCATAGCAAATCAAAAATAAATTGTCACGAACATTGAACAATTTTTTTATTATTTCCATAGTATGATTTTGAATAAGATCATCTCTATTAGGAGGATTCTAAAGCAAAGCTTGAACTCCGACGAAATCACCAGAGGTCGCACCGCGCGTCGCGCATCATGTTTTTATATACTACACTAATATCTCACCCTATGATACATACAATTGCACATTCGTGTCAATTTTCATATAACAAATTCGTCGTGATAAAGCGTCTAAGAATTCTTCTCTAATTCTAAGAATTTGACGTTATTTGTTCGTGCAAACTATATATTTGTGGATTACTATTTTATAAGTACAGGTTGCAAAACTATCGCATCAAGCAAATGTTGTCATGACTTGACGCCATGTTACATTAAGAAATGATAAAAAATATATCAATTTTGAAATTTTTGGTCGTTCTCAGCATAAAATCTATCTCACAAATACGTATTAATATGTATATTTTAATCCTAGAAAAAGATTTTCGAATCTGTGAAAAAGAGAAAAAAAGTATTTGTTATACAAAGATTTTATAATTTATTTAATTTTTAGTCAGTAATACAGACGGCTTTAGGATCCCCTTAACAACATGTAAACCAAAATGAAATATCATTTTCAATAGATTTTATTATGATCGCAGAATATTCTGAAACTGACTGTTTATTTTCCAATTGCAAGATAGAAGCTATTATTGGAGTTTCCCGTACGTAATTTCAAAAGAAACACAACTAGAGCTTGAATTATTGAACGGGACACACTGTTTCTCATTGAAATCATCATATCTTTTATTTGAATAAGATTGTCTCAAGTTAATCCCGTAAAGACATGAAGCTATTTTTCTGAGAGATTAAATTTATCGACTTTATCAAATAATGACAAAAATCAACACTTGATAATTACTATCAAATCACACTTGATAGAAAGAGTTTCCATCATTTCAGATAACTCTGATCCAGTGAGACTTGATGTATTACAGTATATCCTCAGATGATTAAGATCTGCTTCAAAAAATCGTTTTTTTTTACTACATGACTTCGATTATCAATTGGTATATAGATTTTTTCAATGTATGATTGCATTCGAGCTTTTTCTGAAATTATCATAAGATTTTCTGTGGAAGAACAAATGCAACAGTATTTATGCATAGAAATTATCCTCTGAATAGGATAATTTTAATATATTCAACTTGAGGCATAGAGATTTCTTTGGTTTTAACTCGAATGTCGGATCAGAAGTTAATTCAGAACAAGGAAGATCTCTATCACTTTCCAATTTAGAGTCATCTTCAGATTCCTTTTTTTTATAAATAGAAAGCTGACATCTATAGCACAAAATGTCACCGACGAATATCGTTCTTTTTAAATAGCTACAAAAAGAATTTGCTTCATCTTCAGTATTAATTTTTTTCTATCTTTAATTTCTTTTTAATTAATGTTAGCACACCGTAGTTGCACCTTTAATGCTGTAGATATTTTTTAATGAAATAAAATAATCTACAAAAATGAATTTAAAATATTATATATATTATTAAAAATATATTATTAAAAATATATTATTATTAACGGGAGCAACAGTATGGTACAGCTACTGATTTTAACGAAGTTGCCGTAGTTCTTTAGCTTTCAACGAACAGACAATCAAGCATCGAGTCAAATGGCGCTCATTGGTACTCATCGGAATTATTCGATGAGTCTCGGTCCTCTATTACCACTTTTAAGTCAATATATTTAATTCACGCAGCGATGTCGTGGCGCGGACGTGAATGGCAGGGACAGTATCGCCGCGCGGTGTGGTGGGATTCTGCGATTACTCAGTCGATGCGGCATTGCGTGAAAGATTGTCGTTTTTAACCACGTTCCACCCGATCGATTTGGAAAAAATATATGTTAAAGTAGACAATTTAGGAATGTTTTCGTAAAAATATAGAAGTGTTACCTTAAAAGAATCATAAAAAAATTTATAAAAAGTTCGAAAATTTTTTAAACCTTTTTTTTAGTCACACAAATTTGAAAAAATTTTCTTAGACTTATCTATTGTTTACAACATATATTTTTTATTAAATTCGGTCTAGTCTTTTACGAGAAAAATCACTTTTCTTATTTCGCTTTCCCCCTGCATAACTCTTCAAAAAATGCAATTTCAAGGCTAATTTTTGGGGAAATTTAATATCTCAAGGATGATAATTTGAATTCGATTGGTATCGGAGCCGATTTCACATGCTTATTTCACTATGTCCTTTACAAGTTTAAAAGACCTGCCTGCTGTTTTCGCCTCGCGATGAGCGATTCCCATGCGTGTGTGCGTGCGTGCGGGCGTGCGTGCTATTCAATCCATCCCTTCCCCGAAGTAAAACAAAGCCCTACACTCAATTTTCCCACCCGCTATTTTGTTGGACATATACTCTCCACAATATCCTCCTAGTCCTATCTTTCCTATCGACACACTCTCTGATCTCTCCCTTGCCAATCAACGCGTGGGTTAGTATAGAGCGCACCAATCAACGCGTGGGTGACTAGTTAGTATAGAGCCATCAAATCAAAACGCACCACTTAAAAACTTTATTATCCCCATCCCTCTCCCAGCAACTCATCAGCGCATATCGTCTATCTAGATTAGTAGGCCATGTCTCTAGCGCCATTGGAGGAGTGGAAGTGGTTTTTTTTGATATTCCATGGCTGCCCACATATAATATTACTGCGGTTGTATAATTGAAAGTTAAAAAGTTTGACCATTTAAAACAATCATTTTCTACTTGTTATAATACTGATATTTCATTAAAAATGCATGCTGTACAAGAAATGCTATGCACAAATTTGTGTGCATTAAATTTTTTTCTTAAACAGTAATATTATTGTATCTTCTAATTCTTAAAGCCATAAGAACTTTAATTGAATTAAAACTTATAAAAAGGACTCTCAAGAGTAAAACAAACTCAGGAATCAATAAGGTAATGAGAGTACAGCGCGCAACGCAGTGATATACAAATTTAATTATAATTTTAATGTGTTATCTTGATGTCATCCACAATTAATTGAATATTTCGACTCTATTTTGAATCATTTTCAGCAATCATATACTAATTAGTATTAAACCCGTTCATCCTTAGTTAGGATTGAGTCATAAAACGAATTGCCAAATTTAAACGTGGCGTTTAATTTGTAACGAAATCAAAGATCTGTCTTGATACATTGGATAACCTTTGAATGAGCACCAAATTAAATTAACTTATGTAATTAATGAAATTATGCAATATATTCTTAAGAGGCATGCTTTCAGTTAAATAGCTTACATATATTAAATATGTTACCAAGCTTGTTAATTTAATTTCAAGACAAATCTTTGATTTCGTCACGGATCTATGCCACGTTTTGGCGTATTTGATAATTTGTATTGTGATTCATTCCTAACGCAAGGAGGATGAATGTGTTTAATATTAATAATTGTATATGATTGCTGAAGATGACTCAAAATAGAGTCGAAACATTCAATTAATTGGATGACATTAAGATAACACAATAAAATTATAATATAAGTTTAGTATATTATTGCGTACCATTGACCGCGCATCGTTAATCGCGTATTCTCATTAATCTTATTGATTCCTGTGTTTATTTTAATTGAATTATTTTGTTCAAAAATTTCTCATTTTTAATGTATTTGGAAATTCAATAATTTATCCGTACTATATACTCTCTAAATACTTTGGAATGATATTTCATTCTTTGAAGTGAAAATTGAGCTATTTTTAGAAAGAAATAGCTCAATTTTCAATCTCTAACAATGAGACTTTACTCTTCAGAACTGCCACTTTGAAAGTTTTAGAGAATATATTTTACCATTAAATCAATCTTAATTTTACCTTAAATTTTTTTCCTTTTTATGAATAACTATACTACGTCCTAGTATGCTCCTTGGGCCAAACAGAGGTAACATTGTGTCGTTGTACGTTATTGTATATCGCTTTTTATTATCTAATGTGCCAAATTTTCCGCTCAAATCACCCATCTTATATTGATCCAGCGTACCTTCTTCTACAGCTGGAATATCGTTATTGATATCTAATGGATTCCAGGATTCGTAAAGTGACGTCTCTTCGCATGGAAATTCTAAACCATATTCTACAGACGCCTGCAAATTATGCATAATGATTTAGCATATAAATATCTGTACATATGCATATGATTAAACATTTATATTATACAAGTGTCCTAAAAAAGTCGGAACACTCGAATATCTCGAAAAATATAATTTATACAGAAAAATAATTTAGATAAAAGTTGTAAACTTCAAAGAGATTTGTTTACTAATCTTATCAATTTACTTAGGTGGTGTCGCCAAGGTCAGGTCAAAGTCACACCGATTTTTTCAAAAGATTTTTTATAGAACATCCTACTCTTGATTCCAATAGCTGATATCGAGCTTTCCAAAACGATCGCTAACAAAGTTATTTTTTATTAAGTACTTTTCGATATAAGGCTCGAAGTTTACAGTCGAAGATAACATAATCGGCATTAGCATTATACAAGGAATCCGACGGCTAAAACTTTTTGAATGTTATTCAAGATCATGTCCTAGATAATATTTGTTAAGATCGAGGTCATTGGAGATTATTCTTCTTATTTTCATTTCATACACTGAAAATTCGTATATTTACGTAAAAATGAAACTAAAAGATACAATCTCCAATGGCAATCTCAAATGATATCCGAAACATGAACAACACTCAAGAGGTTTTTAGCAGTCGATTGGCCTTGGGTAATACTGATGCCGTATTATAACTTTCAAGCCTTATAACTCGAAAAGTACTTATCGAAAAGATATTTTATTATAATATTTTGAAAAGCTCTTGAGCTACAAGAATATGCAATAAAAGCATGAGAGGTTCTATTTAAGAAACTGACAGTCACATTAACCTAGTCGTCAGAAGGTCATTCAAGATCAAATCCATATTTTTATCATATGTCCCCCTTTAATGTCCTGCAACTTTTGTCTGAGATATTTTTCCATATCTAAAGTCATTTCCAAGATATATGGCCTAGAACCTTATAGACACCCTATATATATATATATTATTATAAAAAATCTTTTTACATTGCACTTGAGGGATCCCTGTAGAGTATAATTATTCGATATATCCCCCATTAGCTTGAATGATGGCCTCTATTCTTTCTTGGTCTAAAGCACGTACGCTGTAATGTAGCAATGTCCATGCTGCCTCAATAGTGATCCTTAATGACATCACACTGGGATGCCGAGACTTGTTTGTGATCCTTTCAACTACGCTCCAGAGCATCTGTTGTATCTTTAATGTGTACGATTTATATCGAAGATCCTCCTCGGGGCTGTTGGGAGCCGAGGCGAACAACTCGGCTTGTCCTGGCAGCCTCAGAGCATCTGTTGTATCTTTAATGTGTACGATTTATATCGAAGATCCTCCTCGGTAATTTGACGCGTTGTTAACTCGCTTACACCAACAATCGATGTTAATTTTCGTAACGATTGTCTTGGGTCATCCGAAATCAGCGCTTAAGCTCTTTCAACGACTGCAGGAGTTTGCGGTGCGTTCTTTCGAGTAATTCTTCCTCGCTGGCATACTGGAACCTTCGTTGGACTGTTCTAAAGCCGTATATTTTGCGACAATGTCATAAACGGTTAATCTCGTATATCCAAAGAACCGAATTATTTCCGTTGCTGAGCGCTCAGAGCGAAGGTCTTCGATGATCGCGACTCTTCGATTATACTCAGCACTTGGTTTCAACATCGCGGCCATTTTGAGAATATGACTGTTTATTAGAAGCATCAGGCTTTCTCGGACGCCAACAACAATCTCTGACGGAGGCACAATATAGCGGAAAATTTAAATTGAAATTTGTCTGGATTTTGGTAACACACCCTGTATATATTTGAGGATTGCCTTTTCTTAAATGTTAAATTATTATACACATTTATGAACCAAATGTTTAGAGTTTAAATATTATAATAATTTATTATAATATTATTTACAATAATATTGTAATAAGAAAGAACTGCAAAAATAAAGTATTCATAAAAGAATTATGTACATCTATGATCTTGATATACGAGGGCGGTCCGATAAGTACTTAGCCTCAACGCCCGATGGAGCCACTATCGCAAGAGAAATTTACTAACGTATAGTACATTCTCATAGACGGCTACTGTCAAAATTTCAGCCGAATCGGACTCGTAGTTTTGACCGCGTGTGGAAGCGGGCGTGTCCGCGGATTTTAGAAAAATAGAAAAAGAGCAATATCGGTGATTCGACAAATTGGTCGAATTGGGCTACGAGCTGCTGCCCCATCCACCGTATTCTCCAGATTTGGCCCCGTGCGACTTTTTTTTGTTTCCAAACTTGAAAAAGTCACTCGCCGGGCAGAAATTTCAGTCGAACGAGGAGGTCATCGCTGCCACGGAGGCCTACTTTGCAGACCTCGAGAAAACGTACTTTTTAGACGGGTTAAAGAAGTTGGAGCATCGCTGGGTCAAGTGTATTGAGCTAAAAGGAGACTATGTTGAGAAATAAATCGCCACTTTTCCAAAATTTTCGTTTTTCTTTTGTAAGCTAAGTACTTATCGGACCGCCCTCGTACATGATATAAAATAAATACGTATAAATATGTAATATGTAAACCATATGTATTTAGGCCATAAATATTACCGTATGTATGTGATATCCACTCATTTTTCCATCGAGACCTTCGAGAGATACTTCTACGTTAGTGATATCATATTCAGTCTGTTGCCATAACTCCAATTTTCCTCTTAAGGATATTTGTTCACCATTACCAAACCAATTTCTGACAACCGCTTTACGCCGGTAAACGCCACCAATACTAAAAATATGATTATACTGTTACTGGAAAGAATGTAATTTAATCTAATTTAGTTTACTGCATGTTTGTTACATTGTACAGGCTAATCGATTTCCTCTCGCAACTGGACCATGATCATCATAAATAACTAAACTTTTGCCAAATAGTGAATGGGATCCAGATAAAGATAACATCGTATCAGTAAAAAGTCTTCGAGTCAATTTTGAGGCATTAGCTTTTCTGCCAGCAATTTCAAGTGTTCCATGTCTCGTTAAATCACCTAGGCGACACAACGAGGCTTCTGCAACGAAACACGAATTCGGCTTCCAATCCACCTAAAATGTTATAGTAAACCCTAAATATAAAAGCGAAAATAAATGGGTATATTACTATACTATGTGTAATAAAAATGCTTTAAAAATGATGTAAAATATAATTAAGTAATTAAGATTAATATTTTAAAAAGAAAGATTTTTTACAACGAAATTTTTTTAGAAAATATACTGATATTGCAACTAAAGTTTTAGAATATACTAATAATTTTTGAAATATATCATATTCTTTTTAAAAGTACAATAATTTTATTTAAATGATAATATTTATTTATAAATATTATATATATTATTTATATAGAATTTAAAATAAAAGTAGAAATAGAATTGTATATATTTGTAGTATTAAAAAACCAAAATGTATCTGTACAGCAAATATTAAACAATTTTAGGTTTAATTATTTGATTTTGC